CTTCATGTTAGGGATTTGTTCAAGAAAGTATTGATATGCCTTGAGAAATGTCTCCTTTCTATGTCAGTTTTCCACATAATTATATGGTTCTTCTTCTTGGTGATAGATTGCACATATTGCATGTGCACAAGAGATCCCTCTTAACTGTCAGGATCTACAAGTGCATGTTTGTAATACCCTATATTTTATTAATAAGGGCATATAAGTCTTTAACTAAAGTTAAAAAAAATAATAGAAAAATGGGCTAAAGCCCAGTAGAAGGAGAAACGTGAAAAGGGGAAAAGGGACGCAGCAAAGCTGCTGCTAAACAACAGAGAAGAAACAAAAAAAAACCATAGAGGAAGAAACAAAAGGAGAAGAAGAAGAAGAAAGAGGTTGGAACCAAACCTTGAGAAATCTTAATTACGCACTGGTTCTTACGAGTAATACTCGAATTTCTCATCTGGGTTCTTTTCTTCTGGTAATTCTTTTTATCTTAGTTCATATATTTGAAGGGTTTCACAAGGTATAAGAAATTTAATACCAATAAGAGTTATTCTGGGTAAATTATGCAATTTGAAGTTGGTCAATGTTAATGTAGGATAAATTCACTTGGAAAAAAAAGAAGGAATATTATGGACAGTAATATTATTTCAGTTACAATTTATGCACACGATTAAGGAAATTGAATAGTACACGGAATAAACCATATAAATATCTTTTTATTTAAAAGATTTTGGACTAATTTAAATTACTCATTGCATGAGTAAATATAATTCGGTGAATTGATGATAAAATATAAAACTCAGAGGATTGGGTATTCTAAATTAGTGATGGATTTAACCTAAATGAGGTAATTAACATGAGATCGGTGTTGATATGATTATAGATTGATTGGAGAAAGTTGTACGAATTGCACGAGGTGAAGCATTTGGTATTCAGCACGAGTATTGTGAGTAGTAATCTTACCGCAATTTGTGTTTTTCATAACTTGCATGATTTACATATGATTTTTAATATAAATATTTCACCGATTATTTTGAGTTGCATGTGGGATAAGTCTTTTACTCGATATGATACCGAAATAGTTATTTGACATGATTACCGTTGTTTTAAATATTCTTGTTGTCACTAGATATGTTTTATCGTTACTTGAATTTACTGTTATCGAAATGAAATTACATGATTTGATAAGAATTGAAATGCCCTATATTTTTTTAAAATAATTTCCTATGAGTATATATGGATTACAGAGATAAGTATAAATGGGAGTAGACTTTGAAGGATTCCGTAGCTAACGGCGGGTTTGTTAGACCTTGTGCACCTTGTAATTATCGAGTACAGTTAAAGCCCTCGCTAGTGGGAAGGTAGAACTAGCATACCGTTACTGATTTTTCTCGAGTAGGGATTACCGTTATATTTGACTTCTTACAAAGAAGTCCACAGTTATACCGATTATATGATCCATTCATTGAAACCTCCCAAACATGAATATTGATATTACACAGTATTTTACCGAGCTTATTACCGAATTGTCAATTGATTTATATTACATGAAAAAAAACATGATGAGACTGATTATTGTTTATTGTTTTTGTAAGGGCGTTCTTATGATATTTTCTTTTTAATATATATACTAGCATGTTTTCTGACTTGTCCCCAATAATAACGGTTGTGGTTAAGTGTTATTACTCACTGAGCTAGCGACTCATTCCCCTCTAATTCTTTTTTCAGAGACAGCAATTGACGCAGGCGAGGATTTCGTTAATTAGAGCGCACAGGTTGATAGTTTTTGGTGAGCCTCGCACTTATTCGCATGGGCAGAGATTTTATTTATTGTTATGGTCTTTTTTTTAAACTCTTAGAGTCACTCCAGAGTCATCCTTTTAGTGTCGTGAGTATTCATTAGTTTATATGGACTAGTTACTAGTATTATACTTTCTTTCCGTATTTTTAGAATTGGTTTTGGTTTTATTATGTTGAGGAGGTTTGTAATATTGGTGGAAACCCGTTTGTGATTAGTTGATGAAGATTGTGACTGATTTAGGTGAATATTGGTTGGTTGTTACTTGTTTATGAGACAGGAAATGTTTTGGGATAGTCCAAAAATAGGGGAAACTCTGTCCGATTTTTTGTAAAATACTGATGAGGCTTACTTGGGGGCACTTGCTCCTAAGTGCTGGTCATGATCCTAAATTGGGTCGTGACAAAGTTGGTATCAGAGCTTATGCTTTAAGTCACGAGTCATGGAACAATGTTTAGTAGAGTCTTGTTCATGGGTATGTAGGCGCCCATACTTATGATCTTGAGGCTACTGAACATCTAGGAATGTTTTCCCTTCTTCCATTCTTTGATCGTGCGTTGAGATAACTTGAGATTGACTTTGGAATATTTCTTTCGCAGATGGCTAGGACACGCACACCCTCATCTGCTGGACGTGGTGCTACTCAGGGTGGCGATCAAGTTGGCGTTCATCAAACTAGAAGACAGGCTGCCCCTCAACCTGAAATTGGGAAATGGGTCAACTCCAAGCTGCTATGCCATATCAAGTGCAAGGGTAGGGAGTTCAGGACGCTCCACCACCAGTGCCAACTATTGTGCCTACTGTTGCCTTACCTGCAGACGCAGTGGCAAGATTATTGAATGTGTTAGAGGCATTGGTGCCTACTCAGGGTTGAAGTTCAGCTCCTCAGGCTACTTTACAGACACAAGCACCTGCACAGACTCAGACTTTTGGGAATAAGGAAGTATCCCTACAAGAGTTCCTGAAATTGAAATCACCAAAATTCACAGGTTCTGATAATTTAGCTGACCCTCAAAGTTTCTTGGATGGGACACTCAAGGCATTACATGCTCTAAGATATTCTAGTGAGAGAGTCTTAGAGCTCGCAGCATACAAACTAGAGGATATGGCCAACATATGGTATGAAACTGTATTGCTAGGAAGGCCAGCAGGAGCAGCACCACTGACATGGGACGAATTCACTAAATTGTTCATGAATTATTTTCTTTCGGACAGCCTGATGCAAAAATATTCTAGAGACTTTGAGAGATTGGTTCAGACTCCAGATATGGATGTGTCAACATATAACACTAAGTTTTGTAAGCTGGCTAGATATTCCCCTTACTTAGTGCCTACCGAAGAATCTCGAGTTCAGAGGTTTGTTGATGGATTGGTTGGCCGTCTATACACTGCAGTATCCCCAAAAATGAAGACTTTATCCTACTCTAATGCAGTCGACCTTGCTAGAAAGATTGAAATCAAGGGACGTGAGGAGCGTGCAGCTAGTGATTTACATAAGAAGGCCAAGACAGGAGGGTCTTTCAGTACCGGTTTAAGTGAAAATCGAAGAGCAGGAAATCAGGGACAACAACAACAGAGTTCTCAGACAGGGTCACACTTGTCTTCACAGTCCACATACAGACCACATTACAGACAGGGTAATAGGGGACCATCATCTTCTGGATATCATAATTTTGGGCAGATATATGCCACTACTCCAGTCTGCCAGACCTGTGGTAGATCACATTTGGGCCAATGTCGTGTTCTAACTGGAGAGTGCTTTCGGTGTGGCCAGTTGGGACATCACTTGAGGGATTGCCCCCAAACTCTGAGAAATTTCAACTAGGCTTCTATTTAGTCAGCTGCACCTACTCAGACTACTCGTAATACTTCAGGTGCTACATATACAGGAAATAGAGGTCGAGGTGCTAGAGATCATGCTACTGTGAATCAAAGATAAGGGAATGCTGGTAGAGGTCAGGCGAGAGTTTTTGCATTTACTAGACATGATGCTTAGGCCTCGAATGTTGTGGTTACATGTATTCTTTCTGTCTGTTCATTTGATGCACTTGCGTTGATTGATCCGGGATCTACTCACTCCTTTGTATCCTCGTACTTTTCTTTGAGGTTTAGTAGACAGCCTGAGCTATTGAATGACCCTATTCTAGTCGCTACTCCTGTTGGAGAGTCTCTATTAGCTGAATACGTGTATCGTGCTTGTTAGATTTGGGTTGAGGGTAGAGATACTCTAGCTGACCTTATTGTACTTGATATGATTGACTTTGATATGCTGATGGGAATGTATTGGTTATCTTCCTGCTATGCTATCGTCGATTTTCATGCAAAGATAGTCAAGTTTGAGATACCAAACGAACCCAGTTTTGTTCTAAAAGGGGGTTAGGTTCCAGAGAATTGCAAATTTGTATCTTTTATAAAGGCTCAACGACTACTGAAGAAAGGTTGCTTGGGTCTCATAGATATTGTAAATGAAACAAGAAAAGAAACAGTTAGTATAGAAAATGTACCAGTAGTGAGAGAATTTTCCAATGTATTTCCTGAGGAATTTCCAGGATTGCCTCCAGTACGAGAAATAGATTTTGGTATTGATTTACTACCTGACACACAACCCACATCAATACCGCCATATCGGATGGCACTAGCAGAGTTGAAGGAGATAAAACAACAACTGCAGGATTTGTTAGATAAGGGTTTTATCAGACCGAGTATATCTCCATGGGGTGCACCAATATTGTTCGTAAAGAAGAAAGACAGATCCCTGAGAATGTGAATTGACTACAGGTAGTTGAACAAGACAACAATACGCAATAAATATCATTTGCCTCGTATAGATGACATGTTTGATTAGTTACAAGGAGCTGCCCACTTTTCAAAGATTGACATATGTTCCGGTTATCATCAACTTTGAATCAAAGATGAAGATATTTTTAAAATTGCTTTCCGAACTCGATACGGGCACTATGAGTTTCTTGTGATGCCTTTCGGACTGACTAATGCCCCAGCTACATTCATGGATTTAATGAATAGGGTGTTCAAGCAGTTTCTAGATAGATTTGTAATAGTATTTATTGATGATATCCTGATATATTCTCATAGCCAAGGAGAACATGAGAATCATCTCAGGATTGTGTTGCAGACATTGCGAGAGCATCGGCATTATGCTAAGTTCTCGAAGTGTGAATTTTGGCTAGACTCGGTAGCATTTCTAGGGCATGTTGTATCCAAAGATGGAATTATGGTAGATCCTAAGAAGACAGAAGCTGTGCAGAAATGGCCCAGGCCTACTTCTCCTACAGAGATTCACAGCTTTTTAGGCTTAGCAGGCTATTATAGGTGTTTTGTGCAGGATTTCCCTAGAATAGCAGCGCCACTGACCAAGCTAACACAGAAAAATGCAAAGTTTCAATGGACAGAGGAATGTGAGCAAAGCTTTCAAAAACTCAAAACATGTTTGACAACTGCACCAATATTAGCCTTACCATTAGGTTCTGGAGGATTTATAGTATTCTATGACGCCTCGAGGGTGGGATTAGGATTTGTTCTCATGCAAAATGATCGCGTTATAGCTTATGTTTCGAGACAACTGAAAAAGTACGAGCAAAACTATCCTACACATGATTTGGAGATGGCTGCAGTGGTATTTGCTCTAAAAATTTGGAGGCATTACCTATATGGCAATACTTGTGAGATTTATACTGACCATAAAAGTCTGAAATATATCTTTCAGCAGAGAGATCTAAATCTTCGGCATCATCAGTGGATGGAACTACTCAAAGACTATGACTGTTCTATTTTGTATCACCCTGGAAAAGCCAATGTGGTGGATGATGCATTGAGCAGAAAATCTATGGGGAGTTTGGCACGTATAGCTCCTGCAAAGAGACTTTTGGCCAAAGATATTTAGAGACTAGAAGATATAGGTATCATATTTAGTGTCGGAAATTCAGAGACATTGTTGGCTTGTGCTCAAGCTAAGTCTTCATTAGTTGAGCGCATTAAGGCCACCCAATATGAGGATGAGCGATTATGCAAATACAGAGATGAGGCCTTAGCTGGTAAAAGCAAGGATATGATTATTGAAAGTGATGGTGTGCTTCGAATGGGTGACAGGCTATGTGTAGCAGACGTAGATGGGTTGAGACATGTTATTCTTGAAGAAGTCCACAACTCTAAATACACTATCCATCCTGGATCCACAAAAATGTATCATGACCTAAAGCAAATTGAGATTCCAGAGTGGAAATGGGAAAGAATTACTATGGATTTTATCACCGGGCTACCACGAACCCTTAGAGGTTATGACTCTGTATGGGTGATTGTAGATCGACTGACGAAATCAGCACACTTTTTGCCAGTGAAGAATATATATGGTGGAGTGAGGTATGCACAGATATTTATGAACGAAATTGTCCGACTTCACGGAGTTCCAATAGCCATCATCTCTGATAGAGGATCACAATTTACCTCACACTTTTTGAAATCTTTTCAAGAAGCATTGGGTACACGAGTAGATCTTAGTACTGCATTTCATCCATAGACAAACGGGCAGTCTGAACGTACTATACAGATCTTGGAGGATATGTTGAGAGCTTGCATTCTTGAGTTTGGAGGTAGTTGTGACGCTTATCAACCTTTAGCTGAATTTGCTTATAACAATAGCTTCCAGTCCAGTATTCAAATGGCACCGTACGAAGCATTGTATGGTAGAAGATATTGTTCTCCTATCGGATGGTTTAAAGCTGCTGAGACTAACTTATTGGGACCTGATCTAGTACAAGAAGCTATGGACAAGGTCCAGTTGATCAGACAGAGATTGATTGCAGCTCAAAGTAGACAAAAGTCTTATGCTGATAAGAGAAGAAGAGATTTAGCGTTCACAATTGGGGACAAAGTGTTCCTACGAGTCTCCCCTATGAAAGGTGTGATGCGGTTTGGGAATAGAGGCAAGTTGAGCCCCAGGTTTATAGGACCGTATGAGATACTAGACCGAGTGGGAGTTGTGCCTTATCGTTTGGCACTTCCTCCTGAGCTGTCCTTTATTCATCCAGTGTTTCATGTCTCAACGCTAAGGAAATGTATGTCACACTCATCTCAGATGCTTGAAGCACCTGCTATATCACTTGATGAGAAGTTGTCTTACGAGGAGGAACCGATGGCTATTTTTGATAGGCAAGTAAGAAAGCTATGGTAAAAAGAAATTGAGTTCGTAAAAGTCTTATGGCGAAATCATATAGTTGAAGAAGCTACGTGGGAAGTAGAAAAAGATATGCAAGCGAAGTACCCCCATTTATTTCAGTCTACAGGTACGTACTTGAGTTAAATTCGGGGACCGAATTTTATAAGGTGGGGAGGATGTAATACCCTATATTTTATTAATAAGGGCATATAAGCCTTTAACTAAAGTTAAAAAAAATTATAGGAGAATGGGCTAAAGCCCATTAGAAGGAGAAATGTGAAAAGGGGAAAAAGGGCTGTTAAACAAAAAAAAAACCATAGAGGAGGAAACAAAAGGAGAAGAAGAAGAAGAAGAAAGAGGCTGGAACCAAACCTTGAGAAATCTTAATTACGCACTGGTTCTTACGGGTAATACTCGAATTTTTTATCTGGGTTCTTTTCTTCTGGTAATTCTTTTTATCTTAGTTCATATATTTGAAGGGTTTCACAAGGTATAAGAAATTTAATACCAATAAGAGTTATTCTGGGCAAATTATGTAATTGGAAGTTGGTCAATGTCACTGTAGGATAAATTCACTTGAAAACAAAAGAAGGAATATTATGGACAGTAATGTTATTTCAGTTTCAATTTATGCACACGATAAAGAAAATTGAACAGTACAGGGAATAAACCATGTAAATACCTTTTTATTTCAAAGATTTTGGAGTAATTTAAATTACTCATATCATGGGTAAATATAATTCGGCGAATTGATGATAAAATATAAAACTTGGAGGATTGGGTATTCTAAATTAGTGATGGATTTAGCCTAAATGAGGCAATTAACACGAGATCGGTGTTGATATGATTATATATTGATTGGAGAAAGTTGTACGAATTGCTCGAGGTGAAGCATTTGGTATTTGGCACGAGTAGTGTGAGTAGTAATCTTACCGCAATTTGTGTTTTTCATAACCTGCATGATTTACACATAATTTTTAATATGAATATGTCACCGATTATTTTGAGTTGCATGTGGGATAAGTCTTTTACTCGATATGATACCGAAATAGTTATTTGACATGATTACCGTTGTTTTAAATATTCTTGTTGTCACTAGATATGTTTTACCGTTACATGAATTTACTGTTATCGAAATGAAATTACATGATTTTATAAGAACCGAAATGCTCTATATTATATTAAAATAATTTGCTATGAGTATATATGGATTACAGAGATAAGTATAAATGGGAGTAGACTTTGACAGATCACGTAGCTAAAGGCGGGTTCGTTAGACCTGGTGCACCTTGTAATTACCGAGTACAGTTATATCCCTCGCTAGTGGGAAGGTAGAGCTAGCATACCGTTACCGATTTCCCTCGAGTAGGGACTACCGTTATATTTGACTTCTTACGAAGAAGTCCACAGTTATACCGATTACATGATCTATTCATTGAAACCTCCCAAACATGAATATTGATATTACACAGTATTTTACCGAGCTTATTACCGAATTGTCAATTGATTTATATTACATGAAAAAAAACATGATGAGACTGATTATTGTTTATTGTTTTTGTAAGGGCGTTCTTATGATATTTTCTGTTTAATATATATACTACCATGTTTTCTGACTTGTCCCCAATAATAACGGTTGTGGTTAAGTGTTATTACTCACTGAGCTAGCGACTCATTCCCCTCTAATTCTTTTTTCAGAGACAGCAATTGACGCAGGCGACGATTTCGTTAATTAGAGCGCACAGGTTGATAGTTTTTGGTGAGCCTCGCACTTATTCGCGTGGGCAGAGATTTTATTTATTGTTATGGTCTTTTTTTTAAACTCTTAGAGTCACTCCAGAGTCATCCTTTTAGTGTCGTGAGTATTCATTAGTTGATATGGACTAGTTACTAGTATTATACTTTCTTTCCGTATTTTTAGAATTGGTTTTGGTTTTATTATGTTGAGGAGGTTGGTAATATTGGTGGAAAACCGTTTGGGGTTAGTTGATGAAGGTTGTGACTGATTTAGGTGAATATTGGTTGGTTGTTACTTGTTTATGAGACAGGAAAATTTTTGGGATAGTCCAAAAACAGGGAAAACTCTGTCCGATTTTCTGTAAAATACCGATGAGGCTTACTTGGGGGCACTTGCTCCTAAGTGCCCGTCATGATCCTAAATTGTGTCATGACAATGTTCTTCTCCTCAAGTTCACTATATATATGTATCCATTCTCATCAACCTCAAACCCATTAGTTCCAAACCACAAAACTTTGCATTTCCTAGAAAACTCCTTATTTTCTTCTAGAATCGCCCTTGCCATAGGAGAAATATCTGTAATCCAAATCTTTGCAAATTTTATAATATCAACATGTCTCCTAACTACTTTATATCTAATGTCCTCTAACATGCTAATAATAGACTGGTGCCTAGGTGCCAATATCCAAGAATTAAAGGTCTCACACATATTATTTTCTACAATATCACATTTAAGTGTTCAAGAAAACAAGCTCTGCACCAATACTCTTTGTTATACTTCAATAGGCTTTCACATCGATTTTTTCAAGTTTTCCCAACCAGTTCTTCTTTCAACTTCACCTCAAAACTAGCCTTAGAATACCTCAAAATTGCTTTCTCATCTCCTTACCTCTCCAAGTTTTTGACCAGTTAGACCATATATGCCTAGCACACATTCGATGCTCAAAAGGTGGTAGTAATTCTGGAATGCTTGGTACCAATCCCTACAAAACATAAATGAATCAAACAGAACCCTACAAAATAGAGATGAATAAAATAAAATAATAACACATGAAGTAGAAATTTATGCCAGAAAGTTTTGGTAAAATACCTTTTGCGTATCAAACATAACTGTTAATCCAGCTTCATCTCCTAACCCCAAATCAGATACTAAGTTTTATATAAACCAACTCCAAGATGCTTTTGATTCATTGTCTATCACATCCCATGCTATGGTATATTAAGAAACTAGATAAAAGATCTCTAGTTGTCGCAATAGATCAGTATTTTCTTTAATGATCAAGTTTGCCTTCGCAAATGAGAAATTGTTGGTTCCCCAAGTACATGCAAGTATACGTGGCCGTCAAGTAATAAAGTGACTCGAAAGTTGGATGTCGAACCCACAGATACTTAGATCAATTGTCAACTAAGAAAACTAAAATCAATTAATTGTCCAAGATATTTAAGAATGATATTTTTCTATTAATCTACTATTGCGGAAATTAAACAAGTAACAACTAATTTATCAAGAATGCAAATGTGTATGATGGGATTTTAATTCAGAGGAGGTGAAAATTCCAGGGTTGTGGTTGGTTTATCAATCCTATTAAGTTCAATAATCACACTCGTTTATCCAGATTATCTATGGTTGCTAATTAACCGAATCGTTTATAAGAATAACATGTTCCCACAATACTACTCGCCTGCCCATAATATATCAATCCTATATTCCTATAGTATTGATTCTATCATGAACGAATATGATACGGTATTCAATTAAGCAAGACTGTTAGGTATCTTACTATCCTAACCGCGAAATCGTCCCCCCGAGCCACGGGTTCAGAAACAAGCTCTCTCTAATTCTACTCTAATCTAAACACGGCTTTCCCAAGGATAACATAGATAGTAGGATGAATTGGTAGCTACAACAATTCACAAGTTAAAATTAGAATTAAATAAACAACCACAAGATGATAATCTGAATTAACGAAGATGTAATTAATAAACATTAATAATTATGTCAACCACAACCCTAGAACTACAGTGCTTAGCCACTCATGTTCGTAGTAACAATTTTCAAAATATTTTGCATAAACAAATTACAAAGAAAAGATAAAAGAATGAAGAACTAGATGATTTTCTCCTCAAAAAGTTGTTCCGCGTGATGTTCTTGCCTCCGGTCGCAAAAAATCCTCTAAAAATGGTGTTTAATGACTATTTATATGTGTAGGGAAAAAGTCTAAATGAAATAACCAAGTCCAAAACCAAAAAGGAAACAAAATAGGCTTTAAAACCCGGAACACCTTCGCTACAGGCCTCGCGGCGCGAGGCAAATCGCGAGATTCATCTCGCTGTAGCCCGTGCGACGCAAGCTCTGTCGTGCGCTTTAATCCTCGCCTCACCTGCTGTAACGCGAGCAAAGTAGCTTGCTATGCCTGCTGCTGCTTCGATTCAATTTTGTTGCCTAACATTTCCAATTCACGTTTTTGTTTCTTTTTTCAATTGTTCTTTTTGTCTTCTTTTGATTTGTCTCTTTTGTCTTCCTTTGTAATGTTAAACTTTAATCCTTATATATCCGCTAATTAAATAATCATAATTCTATTCTTGTAGTGTATAAAATACACATAAAATCTCTACTTTGCTCCCAATTTCGTCTTCAATGTACCTACACATAAAATAAACTCAATTAAGCACAAATATAGTATAGTTTAGCATTAAAGCCCCAAAATATAAGGTAAGTAATGCACTAAAAATATGAAATTATAGCTAAACATCACTACCTCACACTTAAACGTTGCTCGTCCTCGAGCAATCAAACTACACATTATATAGATACAACCTTTTTAAACAATTCTCCAAACTCATCACACCAAGAATATTTAAAATAGACAAAGCACAAGGGTGTAACATCTTCACCTCAAGATTTAACTGACAAGTACCATGCATTATTCATGTCACGACCCAAAATTTCCCACCGACGGGACCGTGATGGCGTCTAACATTTCACTTGCTAGGCAAGCCA